GAATTAGCCCCCTTCTGATCTTCCTCATTACTTCAGGCTGGCCTGAAGCAATAGAAGGGCTTGCTGAACTTATACATTGTTCCTGAGGCCTGGGGCTTTGCAGGAACACTTATAACAATTTACCAAGTCTGGAGAAGAAGGTCTTTGCAAATCTTGAGTGCCCAGGGAGAGTTGTGTGCGGTTGATTATTTATTGGGCCTCAGCTATGTACTAGGTACTGAATTTAGAGCTAGCATTAAATAGTCACTTAAGATATAGCTCTTAGAGAGACCAAACCTGATAGATGAAGACAAACTTTTCAACAATGATTGTCTCATAGTATTTACAGGTGGTATGATTAATTAGGCCTAAGTAGATACAGAAACATTTGATAGAAGTTGCAGAAGCTTACAGGGGTGATGTTTTAGTAGTGAAGAGATGATCCAGGATTGGACTGGGCACAGCATGAGTAATAATTGTAAGTTAAGACACAGACCTCTTATGAGACCCCTAAGTACTACAGGATGGCTAGTGTATAAGGGTGAAAGTAGAGCTTACTAGGATATATGGTTGGAAAAACAGGCCAAGGAGAACCAAGTATGATATACTAGAGCTTTTGAATTTATCCTATGGACTAAAGGGAGCCTTGAAAAGTTTTAAGCAAGGTTGTATTTTGACCAGCTTCTCATTTTAAAAGACCACTTTGGCAACAAAAGTTTGCACTGAGACCAATATAAGTACTATTGCAATAATTTCTGTAAGATGAGGGCCTCAATCAAGCCAGAGGGATTAGTGGCTGGGTCAGGGAGTAGGAGAAGAGATTGTGCAGAGGTGGCGAGGAGGTGGGTGGATAGGGGGATGGAAAGAAAGGATAAATTCTAGAAGTTTTAAGAAGGTAGAATTGACAGGACATGGCAGGAGATTTGATGTGGGGAAAGGAGCAAGGAAAACTGGGGGAAATTAGTGTTCGACTTTTGAATGTTAGAATTTATGGTGATTGTGGGACTCCCATCTGGAGATGTGCAGTAGGCAGCCAAATATTTGAGAACATTACTCAAGAAGTTGTTTTGTAAAGGTGGTCAGTACAAACAACTTAGGCTCAAAGTTCCTTGATTCCTTGATTTTAATGAGCTTTTCAGGTCTTCAGTTCAGCAAACCACCATCACAGTCATGTCTAGATCACAACATCATCTTCAGCTGCTCTAAATATGAAGAATTAATGTCCAGTATGGCAGTTTGACCCCTGGTTCCTCCTATGTTCCAGCTCTCTTATTGCTTTATAGCCATATCTTTCCTTTTAGATTACAGACTTCATGTCCCTCTACATCTTCTTTTACTCATAGTCCATCGAAACTTCATACTATTTCTTTTTCTATTTGGTCTAAACCATAAAGGACCCAGTCCAATTCAGTTACTTTTTAATATGTATGAGCTCATGCCCTTGCTTTCTGACATATATTTCTGCAGATTCTTAATACTGTATCTAGACTGCTGGGTGTTAAAGGAGAGCACACAATCTATGGACAGGGAGTGCCACAAATGTGTGTTCCCTCAACACCCCTGTATAATATTTTTGCTTGACCCATGCCAGGTTCATTTTCCAAAACCTACTCGATACTTTCACCACCTTCTTCATGCCTCCTTCCATATCGACACCTTGCTTCACAACTCAGTTAGCAGATGGTCTTATTCTCTATTTCAAAGACAAAATTGAAGGGATCATGTCTGATTCCTTCACATCCAATTCCACACCTTCAAACTCATTCATGCCTGCATCTTTTCTTCTGGCCGCGGAGGAGAGGATAATTCAAAGATGTTAATTTTCAAAAGTCTTTCTGTGTTCTTCACCTGATCGTTACTCTTTCAATTATTCCTTTCTCCTCTAAATTAATTTCTCTATGTTGGTACTTACCTTCTACATGATCAAGTCTTCATGTTAAAAAAAATAAAAACCCTCATTTGAACCTTCATTTCTCTTCAGCTGCAAATCCCCTTTCCAGATAAATGGTCAGTGAATGTTTATGACCTTATACCTCTAAACCAGGGTTTTCCCAACTTCAACACTCTTTTGGGACTGATAATTCTTTGCTGTGGGAGCTATCCTGTGCATTGTAGGATGTTTAGTAGCATCCCTGGTACTAACTAAATAGATGCCAGTAATACTGCCCCCTCCCCCAGTTGTAACAATGAAAAATATCTGTAGACCCCTGAGAGGGCAGGAGGGACAAAATTGTTCCCGTTGATATTAAACCCATAACATTGGTAGTTTGAGTAAGCCTGTGCAAAGAGACTCTGAAAAGCTGTAGCAACACTTTTTTTTTTTTTTTTTTTTTGCGGTACACGGGCCTCTCACTGTTGTGGCCTCTCCCATTGAGGAGCACAGGCTCCGGATGCGCAGGCTCAGCTGCCATGGCTCACGGGCCCAGCCGCTCCGCGGCATGTGGGATCTTCCCAGACCAGGGCACGAACCCGTGTCGCCTGCATCGGCAGGGGGACTCTCAACCACTGTGCCACCAGGGAAGCCCTGTAACAACGTTTTATTAGTAGAAGAGATTATGCTACTGGAGTGATGACGCTAGCAAAGATTATTGTTCTATTAAGAAGCTAGGCTGGCAGGAAACCTAGTAGTGCATATAGAGGGTATTAAAAAATGTTGCTCTGGGGAATATTCAGAGTGGACTTTGAGAGACTGTGTGACTTCAGGTTATTGAAACTTACCTGCTGCAAAACACATGCTAATGAATTTCTTTATTAATTTCTTTTCATTAAGATAATTTCTTTCTGATATATTATGTGTAGTAAGTTAGCAAGCTGGTTAACTCACTACCATGTTTGATGGAAGAATAGTGATAGGATTTGAAGGAAGAGAAACATGACCCATAAAGAAAAATGTATGCCCTTTGAACTGTGGTCAACTTTGAAATGAGGTTCACATATGTTAATGCTTTTGCAGATACCAAGTTAGTCAAGTTTGTATCAGCTTTTTATAAAAGGCATGTGAGTTAAGGTATAAATTATAAAATGTTATTCTTTAGAGTCAGAAGGAAAAAATGATGTTTCCATTAAGCAGAAGAAGTGCTCTTTTCATTTCAGTGCACCGAGCACTGACTTGTGGCTACCATTAGGTTCAACTCTCTAGGTTGCTCCTTGTTGGTGGATAACATAGGAAACTGAATTAAGAAAGTCAGAATGTCTGTAGGTGATTCCAATGTGGCCTTAAACTATTTTATTTTTAAACCTTGTCTATGTTGTAGAAATTTCGTGAGATATTTAGACCTGATGACATGATGCCCTGGAAAGATGTTTTAAATCAATTATTTTTAATTTGTTGAGTGCTGTGTTTCAAACCATGGGCTGAAATCAAGGAAATCTCTCTAATGCTTCCATAACTGTGAGGTGCAGTGGTGTAATGCCGCTACCTCATCCTGGCTCACAAGAACCAATTTTCAACATCTCTTCCCAACTCTGTTCAGTGACTGGGATCAGCTATGGTAGGAGTATTTACATCATAGAATCAAAGCATGCCACAAATCAGGGCTTTTTTTTTTTTTCTTTCCAGAGAACTGTTTTATCTGCACACCACTGAAGATAGGTCTTATTGTCCCCATTTCACAGCTGAAACTAAGTCTCAGAAAAGTAACTCCCTAAATGAGTTTAACTTTGAAAACCACATGAGCTCAAAGTCATGTGAACTCAAGGGAGTCAAGGTGTAATTTTTTTTCTGTTGGCACAGTTTTTTTTTTTTATCCTGTTCTTTTTTTTTTTTTGGCATATAGTTGCTTTACAATGTTGTGTTAGTTTCTTCTGTATAACTAAGTGAATCAGCTATATGTATACATATATCCCCTCCCTCCCACTCCCCCTGCCCAATCCCACCCATCTAGGTCATCACAGAGCACCGAGCTGAGCTCCCCGTGCCATACAGTAGGTTCCCACTAGCTATCTATTTTACACATGGTAGTGTATATATGTCAATCCTAATCTACCAATTCGTCCCACCCTCCCCTTCTCTCCCCCATATCTACATGTCCGTTCTCTACATCTGCATCTCTATTCCTACCCAGAAGATGGGTTCATCTGTACCATTTTTCTAGATTCCACATACATGCATTAATATACAATATTTGTTTTTTCTTTTTCTGACTTACTTGACTCTGTATGACAGTCTCTAGGTCCATCCACATCTCTACAAATGACCCAATTTCATTCCATTTTATGGCTCAGTAATATTCCATTCTATATATGTACCACACCTTCTTTATCCATTCATCTGTCTATGGACATTTAAGTTGTTGCCATGTCCTGGCTATTGTAAATAGTGCTGCAATGAACATTGGGGTACGTATGTCTTTTTGAATTATGGTTTTCTCAGCAATCCCACTGCTGGGCATATACCCTGAGAAAACCATAATTCAAAAAGATATAATGTGAATATAAGAGAATTACTTTTTTTCTACTCAAGGGGTAGAATCCAGCTGAATTTAGGTTTTCTTCATAGAAGATTCAATATCCTTGTGAATTATATATTTTTCTTTTTTATTTTCATTGTACACAACAGAGAAATCAACTGTACTTCAATATAATGATAATTTTTTGATGTTCTTCTGTTTCCCTTACCTTCCTCACTGATCATAAATGAATTGATCATAAGACAGTATTTGAGACCTAGATTTTGGTGTATATTGGGATGTTATTTTTCATCATACTTCATTCCTAACAAACGTATTATTTGCAAACTGTTCCCAGCATTTGATTAATTAACCTCTCTTCTATTACTAACAATTCTCTGATCCTGAACAACTTTTCTCAGCTGTCTACTATGGGGGATATCACCAGTGACCTCTAAGGTCATTGCCATCCATGCCAACATGAAGATTCTTATGCTTCTAATAACTAGAGTATGCCCTGCAGTTAAAATACTAATGTGGGATATGTCATAAATAAAATAATTTTATTGAAGATGTAGGCTCAGAAATGAAGTTTATTTTGTTGTGTAGTGAAGTTTTATTTTGTTTTGAAAGTTTCAAGATCTGAAACTGAAGGAGTTCTACTGTGAGGGAAACCCACTGTTCCTGAAGCAGCTGGTTAATGCTGTAAAACACAAGGACATCTGGAGTCTACAGGTGAAGCCTTATAGCATTCACACAGGTCTTCAAACTAAAGCCATGATTTAAGTTTTAAAGAGTTTTCTTCTAAAGCATTCTTGCCAAGCCAGTGAACGATCCATACAACCATAATCCATTGGCATTGTGGACCCTAGTCATAATCTTTTTGACTTGTTTGCAGAATCCAGTGTAATCCTATCTGATTTCCAGAGTGACCAAATTCAGAGACATTTAAACTTTTTATTGGATGAAAACATTTTGTTGAAAACAAAAGAATGTTTGCACTTTAACCTCCAAGTATTTTTTCAGTATTATCTAAGGATATATTTGATTAGTTCTTACTGGGGTGTTTTGTCTCTTCCATCCCCTTTTCACTTGTCCCCACTCCTAGTGGATAAATGAATATGATCCAGAAAATGTGTTCCCTTTAATCAACAAGTTGATGATATTAAAGGATGGAATAGGGAAATACATTACGAGACTCTCTTTGTGTGTATTTTGGTGATAGATGAGTTAAAGATTTCAGATCTTTCCACATTTGAGTATGAGTCTCCATTGTGAATTTGGACTCCTCAGGTCCTTTTAGGTCTGTAGCTGAACATGCAGAATTGTCTTAAAACTTTCAAGAATTGCATAGGATTCAAGTTTCCTGGTTACAGGAAACAACCAACCTTGTTTGACAATTTAGTTTTAAAAAATAACATTTCCCCCTTATTGCACAAGTAATATATGTTTAATACAGAAAAGTAGAAAATACAGATGAGTGAGGAAGAAAATATTAGTTATAATGCCATACTTATTTAAAAATTTATTATAAAAGTAATACAAACTTATTTAGAGAAATTAGAAAAAAGGCAATAGAAATCGATTAAAAAAATACTCAGAAATCCAATATGCAGAGTTACAATCACTGTTCTCTCTGACATTTATTCTGCTAGAACTTTCCATAAATCCAGAAGTTTCTGTTATCAAAGATGATTTCAAACTCCACATACTATTTAGAGACTTGCTTTTTTTACTCAAAATATTGTAAATATCTTTCCAATCAATAAGAAATATGTCTATGACATCTTTTTTGATGAATACATAATAATATTCTGGTATATGATTACACCAGAATATTTTAAACTACTTTCCTACTGTTGGCTGTTTAGATTATTAATAATTTTATAACTTTTGGACCTTTATAAACAAGGCTATGATGACTGTCCTCTTCTTATGTCTATTTTATTCCTGTGAGTGAAATTGCTGGGCCAAAGAACTTTCATCTTTTAAAGTCTGATTAGCTCTTTTCAAATTCTTTTCCAGAGAATGAATCTATATTTCCACAAACAGTATTATTTCCCACTCTCAAGTAAAAAAAAAACTTACTTGACGTTTAATTGTAAATAATTTTAAAAACTGAAGTATTTAATTTGTTTAATTCCTTATAACCTAATTATCTCCTTGAATCAAGTATTTCAGAATAGTAGTAGTAAAATAATATCAATAACAGACAGCTAACACTTATAATGCTTACCATGGGCAAGGCATTGTTCTAAGCACGTAACAGGAATGAACTAATTTAGTCCTCCATTAACTCTTGAAAGGTAGGTACTGTTATTGTCCCCTTTTATAGATAAACTGAGACTTGGAGAGGTTAAATAACTTGTCCAAGTTCACAGAGCTAGTAAGTTTTGGAATGCTGATGCCATTCTAAGCAGTTTTGCTCCAGACTCCATTCTGCAGTATTGCCTCAGAAAGGGGCTGCCAGAAACTGAGGGAAAGGGAAACAGGGCTAGTCTCTGGTTGGAAGAGGTTCTGGTTTGTGGAGGGGACTAGATGAGTGGTTAACCCAATGTGGCAGGTGTCTTACAGGGAGCACTTGAGAGCAAGAATGTTACCTTGTGCCTGGGACTCAGGAACAGGGTGAGAGAGCAATATTTCTTCCTTCTCATTTCAAAACTAAGGACCCAGGAACACAACAGTTTTGGGTTTTTGTTTTGTTTATTTAGTAGAAGTAATGATTTTTACTTACAGTATATAAATGACTTGGGTATTTTTGCAAGTATCTCTAAGAATTTTTCTTAGAAAGGTGATAAATTTATTATACATTTTATATTTGTATTTAAAGTAAAAGCGATTTCTACTGGATATTTGGATAACATTACTGATTAAATTACTTGGGCTGTCAAAAATCTATAGGGATTGTTTCAGGCTCTGCATTGGTTAAGGTTTTTTAAAGACTTTTCCTCACCTCAGAGATTTGTGAACTAAAATTTAATATTGATAACTACATTATAACAAAATATTAGCTAGAATATACTGCATCAGCAGATTCCAGACTGAGTTTTACCTGTGTTATGTAATTTAATTCTCTGAACTCTATGTGATAGTATTGGGAAAAAAAATCCCTATTTTACAGGTGAGGTGTCCAAGATCAGAGAAGTTAAGAACTTGTCCAAATAGGGTCACACTAATAGGTCACAGAGCCAGAATTTGCACCTATTTATCTATTTGACTCTGACTCAGTATCTTTGCTCTTCATGTTACATCTTAGTGCCTATCATACAGTAACAATTGATCATACAATAGTTCCAAAGTTCAATATTCCTTCTAAGGATTCACATTTGTTTTTACATTTTATATTTTTTTATGTTTATATAAATATAATTTGTATATGGATAATTTTATAATTCAAATGAAATCATCATATGTAAGGAAAAATAAAAGAAACACCTGAAACTAATTTTAATCTATGATGGTTTAAACATAGAAATAATCTCTGACCTACATATAGTTATCTAACAAATATTCTAACATAATAACATATAAACTATTTAAAAGGAACAATTTATTTGTCATAGAAGATTTCTTGACTTTTAAATAACACCGAGATTAGGCCATCATTAAGTTGTGTATCCTCAAAAACTACATTGCATGTATCTTTACGAGTTTTCCTGAAATTACTATTGGTCATGCCAAAAGTATCTTATTTTATATACACTTGTATTTTCAAGTAATAACTTGATAACTTCAATGATAGATGTTATTCTTCCACAGCAACACATTGGCAGCAAGTAGGAGAAGGATATAAATAATGGGTAATGTAAGAGTTGTCAAGAGACATATGAGTGCGACAAACATGTTTGGTTCCAGAAATCATAAATGGAAAAAGTGAACTGTATGAATTGTGACCTATTTATTCGTCCCATGTACTTCAGCAAATTTTACCACCTGCTATTGTGGGGTGTGAATTCTTGTCTATTAGTTTCCTGCGGCTTTATAGTGAGACTAGCTGTTGAATTCTGGTAGATAAAACTTACCTCTAAAACCAGTGTTTCATTCAGAATCACAATCTATGCTTTGTGTAAGTAGTTAGAGAGGAATGATAATAAAAATCTAATTTAGAAGTCCTGTAATATTAGTGTGAAAGGGTAATTCTTTCAGAAAGGATGACCTCATTATGTAACCATCCTCGAGAATAAGCTGAAGTGTGTAGGAGGTTATGCTGTTGAAGGATCAGGCAGTTAGGAACCAATGCTCAGGGATGTTTTTGTATAATGGCACCTTTCCCAGATGTTTGTTAAGTGGAATGGATAGAGAAATAAGTGACAGGGATACAGGAATTTATAGGATTTTGTTATTATTTAAAAGATTTTAATTGGGATAGATGAGTGAAAGATGTCTGTATGTATTGTGTTGGCCAAAAAGTTCCTTTGGTTTTCAAATAAAAATAAAAGACACATTTTCCATTTTCACCAAGAACTTTATGAACAGTGTATTCACCGTTTTGTTCCACTACTTTCTGCCATTTTTTAGGCAACTTCATAATTCCATCTTCCCAAAACTTTTTATCTTTTTGAGCAAAGAACTGTTCCAGGTGCCTTTTACAGTCTTCCAGGGAATTAAAATTTTTTCCGTTAAGACTATTTTGTAAAGACTGAAATAAATGGAAATCTGAAGATGCAATGTCTGGTGAATATAGCAGATGAATCAGAAATTCCCAGCCAATCTGTAACAGTTTTTTTCCTCGTCGTCCAAGAAACATGCGGTCTTGCGTTATCCTGATGGAAGATTATGTGTTTTCTGTTGACTAATTCCAGACCTTTTCATTGAGTCCTGCTTTCAGTTGGTCTAATTGGGAGAAGTACTTGTTGGTATTAATACTTTGGTTTTCTTGAAGCTCCCTTCCAATCCCACCATATACAAAACGTCACCTTCTTTGGATGAAGACTGGCTTTTGGTGTGGTTGGTGGTGGTCCATTTCACTTGCCCCATGATCTCTTCCATTCCACATTATTGTACAGTATCTATTTTTCATCACCTGTCACAATTTGTTTTAAAAATTGAATGTTTTTGCTACGTTTAAATAGAGAATCACATGCGGAAATATGGTCAAGAAGGTTTTTTCACTTAGCTTATGTGGAACCCAAACATCAAAACAATTAACATCACCAAGCTGGTGCAAATGATTTTCAACGCTTGATTTGGATATTTTGAGTATGTCGGCTATCTCCCACGTGGTTTAACATTGATTGTTCTCAATTAATGTCTCGATTTGATCGCTATCAACTTCAGTTGGTCTACCTGACCGTGGAACATCATCCAGCGAGAAATCTCCAGCACGAAACTTTGCAAAACACTTTTGACATGTTCGGTCAATCACAGCACCTTCATCATACACTGCACAAATCTTTCTTTGCATCTCAGTTGCATTTTACCTTTCTTGAAATAATAAAGCATTATATGCCGAAAATATTGCTTTTTATCTTCCATCTTCAGTATTAAAATGGCTACACAAAAAGTCACCAATTTTGGTAAGTTTTATTTTAAATGCACTCTAATATGACAGCTGTCACAATACAATCTAACAAAACTGTTTTGAATGAAGTTAAAGACAACTAAGCACTACTAGACCCATCTTACAGAAAAAACAAATGAGCGGTTTGGCCAACCCAATATGTATGTATGCATGTATGTATGTATGTATTTCCAAAGATTCCTATCAGAACCTGATGTGGACTACCTTAATACCACTGGGAAATCTTTCACTTTGGCCAGGAGAAAAGTCTTATACACTATTAAAATTCATGCAGTGTTTTTGTACTTCATGCTATTGGCACAAACAATGAGGGGCATTTAATGGAGTAAATCAAATGTTTATTTTGTTTGCTTGGTCAGTGAAGATATAGTTATGTATTATATATATATATATATATATATATATATATATATATTTACTTTAAGCTGATAATGTTGATGGTCATCATGACCATCCTCACCACCTTTTTATTATTTAATATTATAATATTATTATTATCTAAAGTGAAATATCTGGAAATATTTATGTGGATAGGTTTAATACATACCAAATTCAGAGATTTGGGTAATAGAAATCAGTACTCTTTACCAGTCTGTCTCAATTCAGGTACTCAATACAGTAGATAACTTAGTCCACTGCTTCTCAAACTTTAACATACATACAGAAAACCCGGGGAACCTTGTTAAACTGCAGGTTCTGGTTCAGTAGGTCTGAAAGTGCAACGAAGTTTGAATTTCTAATAAGCTTCTAGGTGATGCAGATTCTACTGATCCATGATCTACAGTTTAAGTAGTAAGGGTTTAGAGCTTAGTAAATATGACAGACTCAGTTTTTGGGTCCAGTCTGAATATTTGTACTGTCCTTGCCTATTGTAATGAGAGGTACAAAATTTGAACCTAAACTCTATCTAATAATGTAAATTTATTGTAACTTGAATTCCTGTATGTCAGAGACATAGAGATATTACAATGGAAGTAACTTCCTTTTCATATAATGTTGAACACTAAACTTACAATGCCAGTCATTGACAATATAATTCATTATATATACTATAGAAAACTAATTTAACAGAAACTGTGAGGAATAAGCCAAAAATATAAATTAGTGAAATGGAAATCAATGTAACATAAACCAGTTATTTTGAGAATAATCTGAGGAACCATATTCTTTTTTAATCTAGGAAATAACATCAAGATTTATAATGAATCAGCTAGCAGAAAAGAATCCTTTCCTAATGCAAGCCATAGAATGGTACCCACAGGTCAGGAACATAATCTCTCAGGGAAGAAAATGTGCAATATGTGGAAAGTCCTTTTTAACCACATGGCTGGAATGTGTTGAGTTTTTTCCTCCATCAAAGGTAAATGGTGTTTTTTGTGTGAATATGAGCATAAGACCTCATCTTATTCTTTGTCCTTATCTAAGTCGACCAGTACTAACTTCATTTGTATCTAAGAATTGACCTCTATGATGATATAATGGGTTTTTTTCCCAGCTTTATTGAGATATAATTGACAGATAATATTGTGTAAGTTTAAGGTGTACAATATGTTGATTTGATACACTTATAAATGCAAAATGATTACCACCATAGAATCAGCTACTATCTCCATCCTGTCACATAGATATCATTTCTTTTTTGTGATGAGGACATTTAAGATCTACTTTCTTAGCAATGTTCAAATATGTGATACAGTGTTATTAGCCATAATCCCTATGCTATACATTAGATCCTCTAACTTGTTATCTTATAACTGGAAGTTTGTACAGTTTGACCAGTATCTCCATTTCCCCCAGTCCCCAACCGCTGGTAACTACCACTTTACTATTTCTCTAAGTTTGTCTTTTTTAGATTCCACATATGTGTTATTGTGCAGTGTTTATCTTTCTCTGTCTGATTTATTTCACTTAGTATAATTCCCTCAATGTCCATCCAAACTGTCATAAATGGCAGGATTTCCTTATGTTCCTTGGCTGAATAATATTCAATTGTATTATATATATATACCACATATTCTTTATCCATTCAACTGTTAACAGACACTTAGGTTGTTTCTATATCTTGGCTATTGTGAGTAATACTGCAGTGAACATGAGAGTGAAGATATGTCTACTAAGTCCCGATTTCAGTTTCTTTGGATATATAATAAGAAGTGGGATTGCTGGATCATATGGTAGTTCCATTTTTAATTTTTTGTGGGACCTGCATACTGTTTTCCATAGTAGCTGTACAAATTTGCATTTCCACCAACAGTGCACTAGGGTTCCCTTTTCTCCGTCCTCGTTAACATTTGTTATCTCCTGTCTTTTTGATGATAGCCATTCTAACTGGTGTGAAGTGATACCTCACCATGGTTTGGATTTGCGTTTCCCTGATGATTAGTGATATTGCATACCTTTTCACATGCCTGTTGTCCATTTGTATGTCTTCTTTGGAGAAATGTCTATGCAGTTTCTCTGCCTATTTTTAAATTGGGTTGTTAGATTTGTTGCTATTGAGTTGTGTGAGTTCTTATTATATTTTGATATTAACCCCTTGTTAATTATATAACTTGCAAATACTTTCTCCCATTCTATTGGTTACCTTTTAATTTTGAGTTGAGTTTCTTTTGCTGTGCATAAACTTTGTAGCTTGGCTTAATCCTGCTTATTTATGTTTGCTTCTTTTGCTCATACTTTTGCTGTCATATCCAGGAAATCACTGCTGAGACCAATGTCAAGGAGTTTTTTCCCCTATGTTTTCATCTAGGACTTTTATGGTTTCAGTCCTTAAATTTGAGCCTATAATTCATTTCAAATTCTTTTTTGTGAATGGTGTAAGATAGGGCTCTGATTTCATTCTTCTGCATGTAGTTATCCAATTTTCTCAACCCATTTATTGAAGAGAGTATCCTTTCTTCATTGTATATTCTTAGCTCCCTTGTCAAATATTAGTTGACCTTTATATGCAGGGGTTTATTTCCGGACTCTCAATTTTGTTCCATGGGTCTATGTGTCTATTTTTATGCCAGTACTGTACTGTTTTGATTACTGTAGATTTGTAGTATAGTTTGAAGTCAGGAAGTATAATATGTCCAGCTTTGTTCTTCTTTCTCAGGATTGCTTTGGCTATTTGCGGTCTTTTGTGGCTCCATATAAATTTTAGGATTATATTTTCTATTTTTGAATATATCATTGGAAATTTTGAAAAATGTCATTGAAATTCTCATACAGATTGCATTGAATCTATAAACAGCTTTTGATAATCTGGACATTTTGACAATATTAATTCTTCTGATCCATGAACATGGGATATCTTTCCATTTGTTTGTGTTGTTTTCAATTTCTTTCTCCAAAGTCTTGTAGTTTTCCACGTACAGATTTTTTTCACTCCTGAAATTTATTCCAAGAACTTTATTGTTTTTGATGCTATTGTGAATGGGATTGTTTTCTTTATTTATTTTTCATATATTTTGTTGTTACTGTATGGAAATGCAACTACTTTCTGTATATTGATTTTGTATCCTGCAACCTCACTGAATTTGTTGATTAGTTCTAACAGTTTTTTGCAGGAGTCTTTAGGACTTTGTATATATAAGATTATATCATCTGCAAACAAAGATAGTTTTACTTCTTTCTTTTCTGTTTGGATGCCTTTTATTTTATTTTTTAGCCTGACTGTTCTGGTTAGGATTTCAAGTAGTATGTTGAATAGGAGTGGTTAGAATGGGCACCCATTATATAGAGAGAGCTTAGCAGAGTGCTTGGTACATATTTTATTTCTAAGAATGACTGATGAATCACAAGAACTGGATTTAAAAATTTTTTTTTTGACTTTTTCTTTTATTTATTTATTTTTGGCTGTGTTGGGTCTTCATCGCTGCACATGGGCTTTTACTTGTTGTGGCGAGTGGGGGCTAATCTTCATTGCAGTGCACAGGCTTCTCATTGTAGTGGCTTCTCTTGTTGCAGAGCGTGGGCTCTAGGCATGGAGGCTTCAGTAGTTGTGACTTGCAGGCTCAGTAGTTGTGGCTCATGGGCTTAATTGCTCCGTGACATGTTGGATCTTCCCAGACCAGGGATGAAACCCATGTCCCCTTCATTGGCAGGCAGATTCTTATCCACTGCACTACGAGGAAAGCCCCAAAACTGGATTTTAATACCAGCTCCTGTGTTCTATTAGGTTATTAATATGTTACATCAAATGTATTGTAGAGAAAAATCTGGCAGAGCTGTTGCCAGTGAGGGATAATGTCAAGGTGAAATAATGGTTGAGGAGAAATTTAAAAGTTAAATCAGCTGGACATTAAACACCAAGAGAAAAGAGAGACCATCAGTGGAAAAATGAAAATTGAAATGTATGTTGGTTTTCAAGATGGGAATACATCTGTAATCTTGATTGCTTATGTAACCTATCTGTGAATTATTCACATCACCTTCTGGAATAGATTGTTATATTCCAATATATTCTGGAGTAGATTATTACACTAATGAGTATAACACATGTCATATTATTTGGCAAAAGTTTCCAAAACACTCTACTTTTCACTGGCTATGACATGAACACCTTCAACAACTTGCCATGTTCATTTTTTCCCAATGAATACCTTTCTTGGGAAAGATGTTCTTGCTCTGATAGATTCCCAGTCAAAATCATCTGATGAGCTGCTAGTCTCATTTCAAGTAGAGTAATTGCAATGTTATAATAGCTCTGGCCCTCCAGGAACTTTTATATTCCTAGGAGAAGTGATATAGTAAGGTAATTGAAATCTGACAAATTGGGCTTGATGACCAGCCCTACCATTTACCAACTGTGTCATCTTAATTTCCTCTTTGAAGCTAAGTTTTCATCTCTAAAATTGGTATAAAAATATTACCTTTCTCACAGAGCTGTTATGAGTGAGACATGAGGTAGACAGTGTTTAGTACAGCACGTGCTTAATAAAGGTAGTACATAGTAGCTACTTAATAAGGGTATTCTTAAAAATCAATACCTTTAGACAAGAAAGAATGATTATATTCTTGTGATAGGTATGTGATAGAGGTGTGCACAGGGTGCATGAGAAGAAAGAATCTCAATTAAATGGGAACATTCTCTGGTGTATCCCTGAGTCCTAGCACAGTGATTGTGCTTGGTACTTGGAGAATACCTAATACACATTAAAAGTATTTTAATAGGCATTGCTTATAAATGTGCTTTGAATGATAGGGAGGCATCAGAACAGATAAAGAACCAGTTGACAGGCATTTTAGGTGCAGGAACTGCCTGTTCAAAGGTAATATTGTGCAAATAAAGTGTACAGTGAGTACAGGGAACTCACTGAGTGTGAAGTATGGGAGATGAATTTAGAGAGAGGTATGAAATCAGGATGGCTCTTGTATGTAAAGTTTGAACTTAATTTCAAAAACTACTATATTAGTTTGTTACAGCTCTCATAACAAAGTACCAAAGATGAGTAGCTTAAACAATAGAAATTTATTTTCTTACAATTCTGAAAGCTAGAAGTTCAAGACAAATATGCCAGAAGGCTTGGTTTCTTCTGTGGTCTCTCTCCTTGGCTTGTTGATGGCTGTCTTCTCCCTCTGTCTTCATATTATCTTCCTTCTCTACAAATGTGTGTCCAAATTTCCTCTTCTTGTAAGTACAGCAGTCATATTGAATTAGGGCCCACCCTAATGACATAATCTTAACTTAATTGCCATTTTAAAGACTATCTCCAAGCACAGTCACATTTCCGAAGTACTGGGGGTTAGGACTACAACATATGAATTTTGGGGAGGATACAATTCAGCTACTTATAGTTGTTGAAGCAGTGGAGTAGCAAGATGAGGCTTTGTTCGTTTTTTGACAAAGAATGGTTGGAGCTGGTGATGTGGATTAAAAGATTGTTTATGTAAGTGTGACACTTGAAGCCATGGGAATGGAGATTGCCTGAGGAAATTTACACAGTGAAGTGAGAAGGCCAGAAGGACAGAACCCTTGAAGACAACAGTATTTAAAGGGTGGGCAGAAGCAGGAGTCAGTAAAGGAGAATAAGAAAATGCAATCAGTGGGGGAGGGGCAAAACCAGGTAGAGTGCCCACAAATTTTAAAGCTATCAAAGACAGATGTGCAAGAAATAAGATTATTTTTACTTTTTTTTCTGCTGGATCCAAAGGCCCCACCTCCTAATACATTAGTCATGACAATTTCAATATAGGAATTTTGTGGGGGACACAAACCTTCAGCCTATAGCAGAAGGCTTAAGGGAAACTTCCCTGAGAAGGTGACATTTGAGTAATGTGAGTCCTGGTCCTCTTTATTAACTTTCTGACTTAGTTTTAATTGTCTCCATTTGCAGGTGAGGCAACTAAGTTAGTTAAATAGTTTCTTCACAAATT